GGGGGGGCTCCGTGCGCGGGGGGCTCGGTGCGCGGGGACTCCGTGCGGGGGGGGGGCTCCGTGCGCGGGGGGCTCTCCCCCTCCTCCCCCTTCTCCTTGCCCCTCTCTCAGATATACACACACAAACAAAAGGTTATCAGACTAAAAGTTTGACTATTACTGGGTTGCAATAGAAATCTGTTTTGAATTTTTTCTTTCTTTTTTTCCTTTTAAGTTCTCAATAAGTAGAACATACAAATGGGTACAAAAAGAGCCTTGGTCATCCTGGCCAAAGGAGCAGAGGAGATGGAGACTGTCATCCCAGTGGATCTCATGAGGAGAGCTGGGGTAAGTCCCCTGGGGCCCAGTCTGCTTTGTTTCAAAATGTGGGAGGTTCCCATCCCTTTGGACAAAACAGTGTTCAATGTATCTCATGGAATGTTTCAGATATGTATAAAGCTGCATGATTAGTTAATAATACATATATTTTGCCTGATTTAGTTTTGTGTTGCCCAGGGTTTTTCCTGAACTCTAGGCTTAGGTGATCAGCCTGCCACAACCTGTAGAGTAGCTGTGACTGTTAGAGAGCCCAGGGCAGTACTCTGGCTTGTGGCCCATTTCTTAAAGAACATACTTTAAAGAGTGCATTTGAAGTCCCATTTGTGTCCCCAGTCCCATACTCTTCTTCCTTCCCTAAACACAACTGCTTTCCTTACATCGCTGTACATTGGGTCTAGCATTAGCCTGTGGCCCTTATTCTGTGTTTACACATAGCATGTGACCTTGCGTTAGGTTCCATTCTAAGCACTTATGTAAACCTACAGCAACCTACTTAGATATTGCCACCCTCATTTTACAGTTTATGAAACTGAGGCACAGGGACACTGATGTCACAGAGGAGAAGAATTCAGACCCTGGCCCCAGAGACATGGAAGTCCCAGCATTCTTATGTCAGTATCTGTGAACATGTGTGGATATTTTTTTCAGGCTACATACCTTGAAATGGAGCTGCTGGGCCTGCAGCAAGCCTGTAGTCAGTGTGACAGACTTTTGCTAGGTTGCTGTCTGCAATCTCACCAATAGTGTAGGGAACTTCCCATTTGTCCAATACAAGCCTTCGCTGTTGTCAGCTTTTTATACTTCAGCAGGAGAAAGTGCTATTTTATTGTGGTTTTTTTTTTTTTTTTTTTTGCCGGTTGTGGGGCCTGAACTCTGGGTCTGAGCACTGTCCCTCAGCAATTTCAGCTCAAGGCGAGTGCTCTATCACTTGAGCCACAGCACCACTTCTGCTTTTTCTGCTTATGTGGTGCTGAAGAAGCAACCCAGGACCTCATGCATGCAAGGCAAGCACTCTACCACTGAGCCACCTTCCCAGCCCCTATTTTATTGTTTTTTATTTTACATTTTTTTTGGGGGGGGTCTGGTCGTGGGGCCTGAACTCTGGGCCTGGGTGCTGCCCCTCCGGGCTTCAGCTCAAGGCTAGCACTCTACCACTTGAGCCACAGCACCACTTCCAGCTTTTGTTCTTTTTTGCTTATGTGGTGCTGAGGAATCGAACTCAGGGCCTCATGCATGCAAGGCAAGTACTCTACCACTGAGCCACCTGCCCAGCCCCTTATTTTACATTTCTATCTTAGGAAAATGCTGTGAGGTTTAAATGGCAAGAGTAACCTTGCAAGATGGTTATTAATAGAAGGATGGTGTAATTTACCTCCCAACCAGGATACTTGCCGGACAGCATTGTAGCCAAAGGCAGGCTGGGACAGCAGCTGTAAATTAGAACTGTTTTGGATAAGCCAGAGCAAACCAGCATAGTAAATATATTTAGCCAATATACTAGCTTAAGCTCAACATGATTTTGCCTAGTACTGGTGGCTCACGGCTGTAATCCTATCTCCTCAGGAGGCTGAGGTCCCAGGATTGCGGTTGGAAGCCAGCCCAGGCAGAAAAGTCCCCATGAGACTTCTAATCTCCAATTAACCATTCAGAAGTGGAAGTAGTACTGTGGCTAAAATGGTAGAATGTTAGCCTTGAGAAGAAAGAGGCTCAGTGACAGTGCCAGGCCCTGAGTTCAAGCCCTACGACCAACAAAAAGCATGATTGCTTTATTTCTTACTGAGTTATTCTGGAGCACAAGGCAGCTGTGGAAATGTTACTCTAAATGTATGTTTCAACATTCTTAAATATCACCACTTCTTTCTCTTAGATTAAGGTCACCATTGCAGGTTTGACTGGGAAAGACCCAGTGGTTTGCAGTCGGGACGTTGTCATTTGCCCTGATGCCAGTCTTGAAGAAGCAAGGAAACAGGTTTGTTCTCTGTATATGAGCTGTTTCTCACTATGGCTGCTCTCCTTGTCTGGAACATTTACAGTTTTACCTAAGACTGGCTGGTACACGCTTTAAGAAAATTATTTGTGGTAGATGGAGTGCTCGCCTAGTAAGCTCTAGGCTCTGAATTCAAACCCTAGTCCTATGGGGGGGAAAATTAGCTGTGTGCCAGTGCCTCACATCTGTAACTTCTTAGGAGGGTCAAGGTTCAGCACCAACCTGGGCAGAAAAGTTCAGTAGACTCCATCTCCAAAAATAACCAGCAAAGAGCAGGGCTAGAGGAATTGCTCAAATGGTAGAATACCAGTTGTCCAGCAAGTGCAAGACGATTCTAACCCCCCCCCAAAAAAAAAAAGGAAGAAAGGAAAGGAATACTCTGTATCTGTAGAAGTTGGCAATTTGGCTAGATTACCTGATGTGTTCAATAAGTGGCTGCTGGGTGCATGGATGGGTGGGAAGTGGGTGAGTGGATGGATGGATGGATGGACAGGTGGGTGGGAAGATGGATGGATGGATGGGTGGGTGGGTGGATGGATGGGTGGATGGATGGATGGAAGGACAGACGGGTGGGTGGGTGGACGGACAGACGGGTGGGTGGGTGGTTAGTTAGGTGGGAGGCTAGATGGGAGCATTATTCTTGCTTATAAAGCATCCTTACTCCTTATGACAATGTTGGTTTTTGTTTGTTTTGTGGTACTGGGGTTAGATCCTTCCCTGTGTTTTGCTATGTCTAGCGTCTAAAACAAGTGTTATTGAACTGTCACTTAGCACACATTTGGAATTTAACAATGCCTTTTCTGTCTTTCAAACTGTCCCAGGGACCTTACGACGTGGTGGTTCTCCCTGGAGGTAATCTGGGTGCGCAGAATTTATGTGAGGTAAGAACGCTACTCAGACCTGGTAGAGCTGATGGGGTTGGTCTGAACAGGAATATTTCAGCCTCTGCTTTGTTCTGTTGTTATTCCAATGGGCAGGGAGGATGTTGTGAATAAAACAGATAACTGAGGTTAACCAGATGGTGTTCTAGCTGTATTTGAGACCAAGCAGCTGGAATCACATCACTGTAGAGATCAGTGAGCGTCTTGGGAAGTAGCTGGAAAGACTGAGGCAGGACACTCGCCAGCAGCGAGGCTGAGGCGGCCTGCCGGGTGAGGAGGTGTGGGCAGGTGCGGAGTCCTCTGGTTGGCATGAGGGCCAGTGGGCAGGGCTTTCCTCCCTGTCTTCTGCACCCAGCCAGCCACACCTTCCCACGCTTCTCTTCCTTCCGAGCATGACTGGAGGGAAATTCTTCATAGAGACAGGTGTCTTACTGTTAGGATCAGTGCCTCTGCTTGGATTAAGAATACAGACCCTGGAAGTGGCACTGTGGTCCAAGTGGTAGAGCATTCGCCTTGAGCTGAAGAGCTCAGGGACAGCGCCCAGACCCGTGACCAACAAAAATAAATAAAAAATTTAAAAAATGAATTTGGACCCATTAGGAACTTGATAATTGTCATATCAATGCTGTTTGAGCTAGATTTGGAAAGTAGGTTGAAACCTATGTTTGAAGCTAAAATCAGATCCTATGAAGCTTGTCCAGAGCCTGGAGTATGGACCGGGCTAAAAGCAAGTGTCTGGTTTCCCTTCCCTGTCTAGTCGAGCGCCGTGAAGGACATCTTGAAGGAGCAGGAGAGCAGGAAGGGCCTCATCGCCGCCATCTGTGCAGGTAGGGGCCGCAGCAGCCCAGCGGCCTGTCCAGGACATCTGCCCCAGGCGTGAGGCCTGAGTGGCAGAAAGTGCCCTCTCAGCAGAGAGCCCGATGGCCCTGCTTTCCGCCTCTGCACCCTTGGTCTGTTCCCAGAAACTCGCTGTTTTTTGTATTTGGTTGACCCCGGAGGCAAACATGGCTCTCTGGAATTCAGCAAACAGCTGGCACAGCAGAACTCTCGGCCAGAAAGCCGTCCTGCCAGTGCAGTCAGCAGGAATCAGGCCCGCGCTGCCCTGCACACTGGGCGGCCTGGTGCTTCCGGCCCTGGCATGGCACCTGTATCGGCTGCCCCACTTTTCTTTGAAACTTAAGTCTTGCTTTTTAAAAAAATATTTTATGATAACCTCTTAAATGCACCCTTGTTGCTTTGACATGGGTGTTTTCTTCCCTTGGTGTAGCTTTCGTGTACTGTCCCTGAGGCCTCTCCCCAGGCATGTGTGTCAGAGAGAACGAGTGAGCGAGTGACCGGTGGAAGGTGACAGGTTGAAGCTTGGCTTGGTGCCGTAGCTTTGGAACCGAAGCGGTGGGCTGGGGCCCAGGGCTGTGCGTCCAAGCCGCAGTGCCCGAGTTCTCTCTTGGGGTTTGGTCAGAGCGACCCTGCAGGCTGTGTGCCTGTTCCCTGGCCCTGGCGGAGATGTCAGGGAGGTGTTCAGGGAGGACATTGTGCTCTCGTGTTTTAAACATTTCCCAGTTTTGAGGCAGACCTGTTGGGGCATACCGATAGTCCCGGACCTTGGAAGGCTGAGGTTGGAGGCATGAGAGGTTGAGGCCAGGGAAATTGGGAAATTCCCCGCCTGACCCGCACCATCTCCCACTCACAATTGAGCACCTCCCTGAGAATGCGGCCCTCAGGTGACCGTGTCTTCCCCAGTAATCAGCAGCACCCGCGGTGCGTGGATCCCATGTGAAGCCCTGTGCCCACGGTCCCGGCCGCTCCACAGACACAGGAGTCAGGTTGAGAGCAGTGGCTCAGGAGTGGGGTACCGGGATGGGGTAGGAACCAGGGGCACAAGACACCGGGTGGGACCAGCAGGGAAACAGGGCCAGTGTTCTGAAGGGCTGCCCTAGGGACAGAGTTTCACCTGCACCAGTGTCTGCTTACCACTGAGGTTGCATGTGTGGGGCAGAGAATGAGGGGGTGAAGTTGGACTTGGCGCAGGGCAGGGCAGGGGTCCTGGCTGTCAGGTGCTGTCTCCAGGAGCAGGTCAGCTGGAGCCTGGAGAGTCCGCTGGGACGGTCCTGTGAGTCTCCACCAGGTGGCGCCGCGGGAGCAGGTTGCTGCTGACCGTCCCAGCTCCTTGCTCGAGCCCAGCCATAGGACAGAGTTGTGGAATTGCACCCGTCAGCAGTTCAAGTATTAAGTATCTCTTGTCTAATTTCCCAAGCCCCAGAGAGCAGCAGTCAGCTTGCCCGGATGAGGGAGGCTGCAGTAGATCCCATGTCCTGCTCTTCTGTAAATCTGTGAACATTCTGGAAACCCCTTCCCTGCCTGACCCCTCTCCTCATGAAGCCCATGTTCCGGAGCCTACTTGCAAGTAGGAGACAGGAAGATTTCTTGGCTCAGGCCTTATAAATGAGTTCCACGGTGAGGCATTGATGGTTGGCTCTTCTGCTTGAGGCAGCTGTGGCCTGCGGCCTGGACTGGCGAGACCAGTCCCGTGACCGGCTGGAGCCAAAGGAGCACAGACTAAGCCGTGATGCGGCGCTGACGGCCGAGCTGAAACCAGGCCTTAGGAAAGACTCCTGCGCTTGGTTTAGGGAAGAAAGCTATATTATATTTTGCCAGTACTGGGGCTTGAACTCAGGGCCTGGGTGCTGTCCCTTAGCTTTTTGGCTCAAAGCTGGTGCTGTCCCTTGAGCTACAACTCCGCTTCCCGGCTTTAACTTAACAAAGGTAAAACGTCCCCTCCCTTCGTCTGGATTTGAGGAGCTGTCCTCCCACGGCGGCTGCTTCCCGCGAGCGTCCGGGTGACGCTGCGTGTGTTCCCCGCGCGTGCGCGGGCACGGGACATCCGGGGTGACGCTTCCGAGCCCCGTGAGGAGGAAGATGGTGGCTGGAGGGCGGCGCGGGGCGCGGGCTCTCCCGGGGCGGGCGGCGGCCTGGCCGTCGTCCTGGTCCTGAGGCGCGCTCGGTGCTGGCGCTGCTGTCTTGGAAGGCAGGCTTCGCTTTTGTCAGGAGTGAGGCGGGAAGTTCCCCTCGGAGGCTCCCCTCCCTACTCCATCCGGTCAGGGGGATGGAGTCTGGGGGTACTCCGCGGCCGTGCTCGGCCGGGGTGTGCTGCTTGTGGCGGCCGCTGCAGTATCGTCTCCTCTTCTCTGTCAGGTCCCACGGCTCTGTTGGCGCATGAAATAGGTTTTGGAAGCAAAGTCACATCACACCCACTTGCCAAAGACAAGATGGTGAACGGGAGTAAGTAAACGCTCATCTTCCCTGTGTGCTTTCTGAGCGGGGCTTGCTTTGTAGCTCAGGCTGGCTTTCCTAGGATGTGACCCCATGACCCTCCTAGGGGCTGGGATTACAGCTGTGGGCTACCATGTCCAGTCTTCTTATGTAATTATGTACAGAAAGTTCTCAGAACGTGTTTTGCTTTGTTTCCCAGGGTAGTGTAGGTATATGGGTTCTCTGGGTTTGGTCCTTAGCACCCCCAAAAGAAACAGGTTCAAACCTTACTTGTTCACAGCAGTTTCAGTCCACAGGGCAGGAAGCGTGGAGCGCTGAGTCCATGCGCGGCCTGCCCCGGGCCGGCGTTGGCACCAGTGCTGCCCTCGCTGCAGGAGGCCTCGCCACGTTGGCCTTGCGCTGCCCAGGGCCGCGTCCCCTCCCCCGCTCACTTGGTGGGTTACCTTCTGCCGTTCCTCAATTGGACTGTCCCAAGCCCTCAGCTGCCTTCCATGGCTAGAACGAGTGTGCACTGACTTGTCAGCGGCCCTGTCTGGGAGGCTGTCTGTCCGGGAGGCAGGCTGTCCAGGAGGCTGTCTTTGTGAATGCTCGTGGCTTCTGAGCTGGTGGAGCGGCATGAGGCCATGTGCAGCCTCCAGCCCCGTGTCGCCCAGAGCTGCAGCCATTGTGTCTGTCTGCTTGTCCTGGGACCAAAGAAACGAACTCAGAAGCTTGCAGATCTCACACACCCAGAGTTCACAGCGTTTGCTCCCTGCCAAGTCTCTCGGTGCTCATTCCCCTGACTGCCCAGGTGAGGGACGGAGGCCTGGGCCAGGCGTGGTCCAGCCCGTCCTGCTCTGGCTGGGGCCACTCCCTTTCCCCTGCCTGGCGCTGAGGTTAGCAGCTGCTGTTGTGAGCGCAGTACTTGACATCGCCGCCCAGAGCATTCTGGGAGGTGAGGTGGCTGCTCCGGCCAGGCCCTCTGCGTGGTTGGCCTCCGTGGGAGCATGGCGATGGTGCAGAGGAGCCGTGTTCCGCACCTGGGCTTGTCAGCGGCGAGTCCTGTCCTTCCAATAGAGCAGGTCATCTGCGGGGTGACGGGACCTCATGCCACAGATGCCTTGGTCTGGAACTTTCCCTCAGATAGTCATTCCCGTCCCAGGGGCCAAAGGCTCGGGTTTTAGAGAAATAGGTGTTTTTAGAGAAGTAGGTATGCGTTGCTTTCCCTTTGTCCGTTGTGCTTGTGAGCTTCAGAGCGCCCGGACACGCACGTGCCGTGCAAGCCAGCTGCACTGCAGGGCAGGCTCCTTTACCTCTGAGCCTTGCTTGGTTTCCTTATCTGTGGGCTCTGCCTCAGGAGTGTGGGTGGGCTGAGGCAGTATGCTGGCGCACCCTGCATGTGGCCTGGCACCCAGGCTGGGTGGGCACAGTTGCCACTGCAGCCCGGGCTCTGCCAGGCAAGCCCAGGGCCGCCCCCCTGCGGGATGGCAGCACAGCGCCCTCATCTGCCAGGTGGAAATCATCCTTGTCTTACACAGACAGCATCTAGACAGGCGACACAGCCGTGACAGGCAGGCTGGGCCGTGCTCCAGGGTCAGCCGCCTCGCTAGGGGCCAGGGAGCCAGGGTTGGAGGTGCGTGGCAGCTACCCCGCTGTTGTGGCTTCAGAGTAGCGACAAACAGCGGGTTTTTCAAAGGTGTGGCTTTGGGCTCATAAAACTTCATTTACGAATGCAGGCAGCGGCAGCTGGGCGTGTGGGGCATCTCTGATCCTCAGGAGGGAGTGGTGGGAGGATCATAGTCTGAGGCCAGCTTGACACATTCATAGTGAGACCCTGACTCCCTCTGTCCTGAGCCTTCCTGCTTTTCTCCAACTGGATGTAGAATGTTTTTTCCCTTACAGCTTAAAAAAAAAAAAA